GAAAACACACAGAATAAATATAAATAGATACAAGGTTGTTAAATATAAGATAGTTTGTTAGGGAGCATATCAGAAAAAGACTCAGTAAATGCTTCTTGCAAGAGATGATGTTTGAGCTGTGTCTTGTGAGAAGACAGGAACTCCATGAGGCAGAGATAAGCAAGCAGTACCTCCAAGTGTGGAAACACCCAGTTCAAAGGCATGGAGATAGGAGATGGAGTATCATGTAAACAGAGGGAGGCCAGTTTTGCTGGATTGCAGAGTGTGAAAGGGAGACTAGAAAGATAGGTTGGGACTAGGTTGTGAAGGACTTTAAAAGCTAAACAGAGGTGATATTTTATCCTAGAGGCACTTCAGTTTATTGAGTAGGGAGTGACAAGATCAGATCTCCACTTAAGGAAAATTACATTGGCTATAGTAGCAACAATAGTCAGTGATCATTTGTTAAATTTTTATTATGTGCCAGCCATTGTGCTAAGGATGGAAATACAAATACAAGTAGAAAGGAGGACAGTCCCTGCCTTCAAGGAGCCTTCATTCTAATGGGAAAGGTACCTGCAAAAAAACTGAAAGGGGGTGGGGGTAGGGCTAGTGCATGGTAGAAAAACTAGAGTGCAACCTGAGAAGAATAAGACATGGCTGGCCTAGGTACCCTCCTTAAATTGAGGTTCTGGGAGGAGCCATAAAGATCCTTCCAATAAGCAATTGGAGATACAAGGATGAAGCTGAGGGAAGAAACTGAGGCTGAATATATAGATATTCTGCATAGAGAAGTTAAACCCTTGGGAACTGATGAGTTCACCCACAGAGAGATTATAAGAGAAGAGGAGATGTATAACAGAACCTTAGGGTGATGCATTCACATTTAGGGGCATGATTTGAATGATGATCCAGCAAAAGGGACAGAAAGTAAATGGTCAGAAGGGTAGGAGGAGAGCAAGGGAAGAATGGTGTCCCAAAAGATGAGAGTATCTAGGAGCAAGTGGTTAATAATGTCAAATACAATAGATAGGGTGAGATCTGAGAAAAGACCAACAAATCTGGCAATTAAGGGATGGTCAGTAACCTTAGAAAGAACAATTTCAGTTGAGTGATGAAGCCAGAAAGCAACTTGCCATAGGTTGAATGAATGAGAGGTGAGGAAGTGGAGGCAACATGAAAAAGGAGGCAACTCCTTTTTTCAAGGAGTTTGGCTGAGAAAAGAAAGATAGATATAGATACATACTGTATATAGATTTGTATACATACATATCATATATGGTGATAGATTGAGGGGATGGTAGAGTGTAGTGAAGGTGTTTTTTTAAGGATGGAGGGAGACTTGAGCATGGTAAGGAACCAGATAGGGGATGGTTGAAAATTTGAGGGGATCTGGGGAGATGGGGATTATTAAAGATGCAGTCTACTGGAGAACATGGGATGGAAGGATGGAATGAAGTAAAGTACACATGTAGAGGGGTTGGCCTTTTGCAAGGGAAAGGACTATCTCTTTGTCAAAGACTGGGGGAAAGGAGGAAAGAGTAGAGGACGAGGTTGTTAATGGGTTTTGCAATAAAGAGAAAGGAAAAAGAGGGAGTTCCTGTTGAATGGTTTCAGTTTTCTTAGTAAAATAAGAGGCAGGGTCCTTGGTTTGAGAGATGGATGGGTGGTGATGTGAGAGGCTTGAGAAAAGAGGATAGCTTTTTTGGAGGGTGAGATAGGGAATCCATTAGAAGCAGTTTAAAGTATATCAGAAATCATACAAAACAGTATGTGTTAAAGTATTGATGCTTATGTCATTTTCCTAATATAATTGTGTCAAAGTGGTGAGTATAAATGTATGGAATACTTAACTAATTTAAAATAGCTTCATGACTCTTGAGATTCAGAAATGTTTACAAGTTGCAGCTGTAAGGTCTGAATGAGGCTCTTCTACCCCAACTAAGAGGCTCTGAAATTGTTAACATGGCCTTATAAATAGTCTCTCTGTAAAAGAAGCTTTTCTTTCTGTAGCAAACACTCTGCCTTTATAGTCACAAATGCATCACTGAAATATCTGCTTATTTGGTGAAAATTGCCTGTGTTGAAGATGATGAGATAACTGGGAGGGATAGTTCAGATAGAATGCCCAAACCAATTCTCATAATGTGCTCTAATGTTCTTATTAAATGCTTTTTGATTATGATTGTGTTGTTGATTATGCTGCTTTTTTCATTATATTTTAAAGTTTTTAGGAGAGAAGTCATTGAATCTCTAATATGGTTTATATTAAGTTTATGCCTTCCTTTATTTTATAAGAGTTCCCTCCTCCCGATTATTTTAGCTTAAGAATGAATTGGTTCAGTTCTAATATCATTTGTTTGAAGATCAGTATATAAATTTATTTTCTTTCACAGAAGCTTTAAAAATTAAGTTTAAGAAAGTTGAATTAGTTCTAACACCACTTGTTCAAAGAGTAATATGATATCTGATGTAAATAATCCTAGTTGAGAAGCAAAATATTCTATGTAATGCAAGGATTAATCTTGAAAAGGTTTAGGACAGGGCATAGAGAAAGGTGGGAAAAGAACTAGAAAAAGTATTTATTGTACTGTTTTGACTTTATCCACGATGGTGATACTAGTGATATCATATAGGCTATCAAGATGTATAGTTTTTTGGTGAATTGAACAGTTTGAAGATGGGGTGAGGGGGATATACATTTTTGCAAAATTTTCTGTGACTTACAGGTGAATCTGTCAACTCTGAAATGTATATGTATCTACCTGGAAGATAACTTTTCTTTACTTTCTTGATTAACTTTTAGATTTAGTGGTTATAATTTTCCCAGTGCTTTTGTCTGTCTCCTTGCTGCCGCTTCCTTTTTTTTTTTTTTAAGTTTGGACTGAAAAATGAGCAGTTATCACATTAAGGGATATAGTCATCTTATCTTGGAATACTCATGATAGGCATAAGCAAAAAGACTACCATGAAGTGTGTTTATAAATTTGATTCAAGACTAAGAAACCGAAGAGGTTTAACATTTTTTGACAACTCAGAAACTTCATATCAGTAGTTTAGGAGAACTTTCTTCAAGAAAAGAGTCAAAAGATGTTAGCTATGGCAAATACCAAAAAAAAAAAAAATCATAAAAACTGAAATCTACTATAATCAACATACAAGTAATAGCTGTTTATCAATGTGGGACTTGTATCAGAATTAGTTGCCTATGTACAGTCAGACCAGATATTAGTGGCACATAGTAGGCTTGTTTCCTTTCTTTGTTGTCTCCCCATTAGAATTTAAGGTCTTGAAGGAAGGGAATATTTTGCTTTTGTCTTTGTGTCTCCACTGCCTATTAGATACTTGAGAAATGGCTTACTGATTGGATGATTAAGAAAAATCTATTCTTTATGTAAATCACAATAATTTATTTTTGTTATTAATAAAAATCAACATATTTTTCTAGCCCCTGTCATTCTTAGCTATTTTATATACATTTATTTCTTTGGTTCTCAGTTTCCAGCAGTAATTCTGCTTGAGAAAACATGAAAGCAGATATTTGGGGAAAATATTGTTTGTTATGTGATCTACACAAAGTTTGCAAAATAGAGAAGTCAGGTTAATTTTTGAGCTCTACAACTTTGACATTCTCAAATTCAGAAAAACAATTTTCCCTCTGTATTGTAATTACATTAATTGTATGTTATCTTTGTTTTTGTTTTTGTTTTTACTTGTAGGATGGAGTTGAATTATGCATGTTCATGCAAAACACCTTAACAAGATTTATGAGGTAGTATCCCTTCCCTTGTTATGGGGTTGCTCCAAGCCACTAGAAATAACTCATTGTAACTCTACTGCTAGCATTAAGATTGAAAACAGATCAGTCATTGAAAAATACTAAGGCAGGTGGTGAACACCTATCTTGGCAGACTTGACTATCATTTAAAATAACTTTGGGTAATGAACACAGTCAATATATCAGCAAATGTTTACACACTTGTGTATAAACAAAGGACTTAGCAATGGAAATATAAAGAAGTATAAGGCATATTGATTCTGAACCTTAAGCACTTTATAGAAAAGGGATACCAAGAGGATTAGCTAAGTAAAGATAAGGAAATAGTCATACAAGATCTAGCTTGTGGAAATTCCAGAATTAATTGCCAGGAATTGTACAAATAAATGTTGTGAGGATGAAGGAGGGAGCAGTGACTGAGCTGTTTGGCTTGAAAATGCTTCGCAAAGAGAAAGGGCTTGATTGAGTAAAGCATTGGCTAGGACTTTCATCAATGGACAGGCAAAATGTGGGGATGGGAATAGAGGGGTAGGGGGCAGGGTGTAACCTAGCACTTTGTATTTTGAGGGGCAAACTCTGTTACTCTTTTTTTACCTGTGGAGCTCACACTTGCACAATCCTATTCAGGTTCTTGAATACTGATTCATTTTTCCTGGCCTCGCTTTGAGATTGCAGGATATGGACAGAGACACTGGGTCTCCTTCATAGACATATGGAATTGTTCCTCTGGGTGGCTGAGAGAAGTCTAAGGGACAGCTGAGACTAAGTCCTCATTTTTGCTCACTCATAGTTGACCTGAACATTTGAGTTGAAAAGTTCTATTCACTTGAGTTCTGAGTGGAATGATTAATAATATTGGACAGCAGTCCTTTATAAAAAACGAGCATTTTGTAAAAGAATTACTTTGTATTTGTACAATGAATTTTTGTGAAAGAATTACTTTGTATTTGTACAATGAATTTTTCTGAGTTCCTTGTGTGCCTTCCTCTAGTTTGATGTTCCAGGACTCAGATATCTCTGGAACTAAGTTTTAGTGTTGCTCTGATGTGGTCTAGAGGTTAGAGGTCCTGGCACCCCAAAATCACGATACCCGGGTCCTGCCCAAAAGAATTCGACCCAAGCCTTCTTGCAGCCAAAAACAAAGTTTATTGAAGATTCGCCATATTAGCTAGACTCTCAAGGAGTCTGAGCATCTATGGGCTATTGGCTAGATTGTAAAAATCTGAGCATCTTAATGGAGGCAAGATGGACCTTAAATACAGAAAGACCATGGGAGAGTGGCCAAGTAGTCCATGAGGTAATAGAATTCTCAAGGGTGGGAAATGGAGCCTAGGTGGGACCAAGGGTGGGAAGTGGCCTGGGGCCATAGGGAGGCAAGACAATAGAGGGGAGATGAGGTGTAGCCACAATGAAAGACCAGTTGATGGGACCATAGCCTCCAGATATTTGGCCACGTGGGAAAGTACAGAGTCCATGAGGTAATAGAATTACCAAGGGTGGGAAATGTTCTGGGACCAGAGTTTTTCCTTTCTGGGGCTCAGATTCCAACCCATCAGCTCCATATGCCCAGTTACAGAATATCAATCTATTTTGGGAGAATGATTACAGTAATTTTAGTATGAATTTTAAGTTGCACTTTCTCCTTCTTCTTTTCCCCTCCCCCTCCATCCAGAATGAAAGCCCAATGTTTCATTGTCTTTTGGAGGTTGTTTCTGATTATAACATACTCCCACTGAATCTTCTCAGGTATTGATGCAGGATTTGTAAATTGACATTCAAAAGTATAAAACAGTAATGCATTAATAATATTCTGTTGTTTTTCTTCATTATGTAGGCTGCCTTTAATAAGTGTTGCTTTGATTCAAGGAAGAGCAATGGGTGGAGGAGCAGAATTAACCACAGCATGCAATTTCAGGTACAGTGAAAATTGTGTTAGCTCTTATACAAAAAACAATATATATATTATTTTGAATAAATTCAGATCCATCTCAACACAAGAACAAGTAGCGCTTGGGAAAGGATGATGAATAAAGATGTGAAACTCAACTTCTAGGCCCATTATATTGGACAAATAAGATATACACCAGTTACTTAAGGAAAAGTAAAATAAGATAGAAACGAGCAGAAACAATTATCTCGCTAACAAGGTTAATGTGTGCTAGGACTTCTGGGTTTTCTCAGTGCTGTTTTATCTCATGGTAAACAACTTCAAAGTTCATTTTAGGGGGACAGAGAAGTTGGGTAAGAATGTGCTTTCTTTTCAGAGATGGGAGACTATGTATATAGAACAGTGTCATCAAACTCAAATGAAAAGAAAGCCACTAAACCATATATAAGGGTCTCTACAGGTTGCATAATGGCTGAAAAGGGCTAAAATGACATTATATGTTGGGGTCAATATATAGTGTGTCTGATTGTGGCTGATCAGACCAATGTGAGCTCGGAACGCTTTACCACAGACTGAGTACAAATAGTCCATATGAACATTTGGAGGGAGATGTCTCTGAATTTGCACATCTCATGTTTCTTTTGAGCTACTACAATTCTGCTTTGCTCATTGAGCACAGCGCCTTCTTTGACGTGAGCATGCCATGCTGTGCGCTTCTATGTCAGCGTCTCCCATGTCATGCAATCAATTCCAAAGTTCTTCAGAATGACCTTGAGAATGTCCTTGCATTGTTTCTTCTGACCACCATGTGAGTGCCTTCCTTGCATGAATTCTCCATAAAATAGTCTTTTAGGTAGACGTACATTGGCATTGAAACAACATAGCCAGCCAATTAAAGTTGTGCTCTCTGCAGTAGTTTGAATGCTTGGCAGTTTAGCTTGAAAAAGACTAGTCTAGTACCTTATTTTGCCCGGTGATCTTCAGAATCTTCCTAAGACAATGCAATTGGAAGCAGTTCAGTTTTCCTGGCATGGTGCTGGTGTACTGTCCAGGTTTCACAGGCATATAACAGTAGGTCAACACAATGGCTCTGTAGACCTTCAGTTTGGTAGGCAGTCTAATACTTCTCTCCCATACTTTCCTTTGGAGCCTCGCAAACACTGAGCTAGCTCTGGCAATGCTTGTGTCAACCTCATCATCTATACGTACATCCCTGGAAAGTATACTGCCAAGGTAAGTGAACTTATCCACAGAATTCAAAATTTCTCCATTTTCTGTAATGGATGGTGTGGTGCTGGCTGGTGGAGAACCTGTGTTTTCTTGGTCTTAATTGTTAGGCCAAAACTCGAACAAGCAGCAGAGAGTAGATCCATATTTTGTTGCATCTCAGTTTCAGAGGTTGCATTAAGGGCACAATCATTTGTAAACAAAAAAAAAAAAATCATGCACCAACTCTCCCTTCACTTTAGTCTAGGCTTGTAAGCCTTTTCAAGTTAAATAATTTACCCGCAGTGCAGCAGCTGACCTTGATGCTGTTTTCATTATCATTAAATGCTTCCAACAGCATTGCTGAAAACATCATGCTAAAAAGCATGTTAGCAAGCACACAGTCCTGCTTCATTCCATTAATGACTGGTAAAGTGTGAGAGCATTGTCCTTTATCCAGAACTCTTGCAAGCATGCCATCATAAAACTGGTATATGATACTGATGAACTTCTCTGGGCAACCAAATTTTGACATAATCTTCCACAAGCCCTCATGACCAACAGCATCAAAGGCCTTGATCAGATAGAAAAACATTGTGTACAGACCTCTGTTCTGCTTCTGGCATTTCTCATGGAGTTATTGGGAAGCAAACACCATATCGACCATTCCTCAGCCCTTTCCAAAGCCATACTGGCTCTCAGGTAGATGACCATCTTCTAGGTGAAGGATCAACCTATTAAGAAGGACTCTGGCAAGAATTTTGTTGGCAGTGACTAAGAGACTCACTCTTCTGTGATTGTCACAGGACAACCTATTTCTTTTTTCTTTACAGAGATAGACAGTGGAGGCATCCTTGATCTCCCAGAGGATAACCTCCTCTTGCCATATAACCTGGAAGATTCCAGTCAGCTTTTGTAGGAGCAGTGGACCCTCTGCTTTGTAAACCTCAGCTAGAATGGAATGAGCACCAGTCACTTGGTCATACAGGAGGAGCCTAATGGCATTCAAAACCTCTTTTTCAGTTGGAAGTTCAGCTAGAGGGGGATTGACTTCAATGCAAGGAATACAGTCAGTGGCTTCAGCATTGATTAATGGTGGTCTGTTGAGAACACTATGGAAGTGTTCAGCCTATCTCTAAGGGATCATGTCCTTATTACTGATTGGTGTGGCTCCATCAATGCTGAGTAGTTGAGATGCATCATACATAAATCATAGGCCCATAACTAGCCTTTAGGGCATCATAGAAGCACTTTGGATTGTTACTATCAGTGTAAAACTGAATTTCATCTGCCTTCTTACTGTGCCAAGAATCCTACATCTCTCAAAGCTTCCCTTGAATTTTACTTTTGATGAAGTTGAATGCTGTCTTCTTAGAGATGAGTGAACTATCCTGCTGGTAAACCCTGTGGAGTTCTTCTTTTTCATTTAGTAGCTTCTGAATTTCTTCATTATTTTTGTCAAACCAAGCCTGCAAGTGTTCTAGCCCAGATGAGTAAATGTGGTGCTGTATACCAAATCTCTGAAAGCTGCCCACTTCTTTTCTGCTCCACTGTTGCTAATGTTTTGGCTCAGCTTTCCCTCCAAGTCAGCAACAAACTGTTCCCAGGGAGAAGCACTCTAATCTGTTGACATTGTCTTCTGAATGTCATCTTACCTTGGGGCTCCTCTTTTGCGGAATATGAAAGTTTAGCTTGGAGAGGCTAAGTCTGTGATCAGTTCAGCACTGTGGACTTTGCCTTCATCACTCTCACATCCTGTCTGTCTCTTCCTTACAATGACATAGTCTTTTAAATGCCAATGTTTCCTGTGAAGGTGCATCCACAAAGTTTTATTGCATTTAGGTAAATGGAAGACAGTGTTGGTGATGAGAAGGTCATGAAACACAAGTCTTCAGTAGGAGGTGACTGTTGCTGTTGCTCTTTCTGACTCCATTCCTCCCGAGGACTCCATGTCACATCTGATGGTTTGTGCTCACTCTGGTATTAAAAGTCACCAAGAATTACAAGCCCGTTCTCTTTCAGCACTTTGATGATGAGGGTCTTCCAGGTGTTCATAAAATTCTTCTTTGACTTCATCAGAGTTTGTCATGGTGGGAGCATCCACACTGATGATGGTTGTGTGGCACTTTCTTGCAAGTGGCAGTCACATTGTCATGAGCCTCTCATTCCTTTTGGGAGGCATATAAGATTTTTACTAGATTAGATTATTAGATTTTACCAGCTTCACAGAGTTCCCCATCACTGTGGCCACTCCAGAAAAATGTGTTTTCAGCTCTGACCTCGGTAAGATGGCCTTCAATTGACAGCCTTTTTTCACTCGGGGGGGCTATTGAGATATGATACCTGCTGAGTTCTCTCACAACAAGAGCTGTTTGTCTTTAAAGTCTACTAGATTTTGTGTTGTCCATGAGTATGCATACATTCCATGTACCAGTGGTTAGTGGAATCATCTCTGCAAAAGTTTTTATACAATTTTTTTGTGTGTGTGTTTAAGTCACAGTGTAGGAGCCTTGCCTACTACAGTAAGAAGGCCAGGGTTAGGTTAGGTAAAGTATACAATTTTTAGGGCACTTTTTCTAGCTCCTTCCTTATGCCAGGAGGTGAGCAGTGTGGTCCTTAAAAAAATCTGCTCAGACAACCAGGGGATTACCTGTGTGCAGGGTTGTGACTACAGCTCCCAATGTATCTGTACCTGTTACTTTGTCACTTGCCTGTCACCTTAGGACTTTAAGTAGGAGTAAAATAATAAAATAATGAAATAGCAAAATGGTAAATGGTAAAATGATATGAGTGATGTGTTTTGACTTGCATATAATTTGGATTTAAGTGAGGCAGAGTTGTTCCAAGTCATTGGCCTCACTCTCCCGGAGTCATTGAAGCCCAGTGGCAAGACAAAAGTCAGGATGACTGGCAATGGCTTGGGATGTAGTGGATGATCTTGGCATATTCCATGTCCTAACCAACCTCTAAGTACTCTACAGCATCTGCTTCTGCTGCCTTCATTGGCCTGTTGGAACAAATTGTTGACATCCACCAATTCCACCAGAGTAGTCTTCATGTGCTTGGGGTAGACATCCCCCAACTCACTGATGGGTTTCAGACCTGTCAGTTACCCTCAACCTGGTTTAGCTTTCCTGCTGAGATAATTTTACTGAGGTGTGACTGTTGCACATGCTATAGCTTCTTGGAATCATAGGTGAGAGTTGGGTGGCAGTTAGACACCAAAAGTGTAAGCAGCTCTGAAAAAAAAGGCTTGGCCGCCCTCACACTGGAGGTACCTGTCCTCCCTGAACACAGGGTACATAATGACTTAGAAAACTACTTGTTAATGTTATCTATGTTCTATTGTATTTTTATTTGTGTTGTTAAATATTTCAAAACTACATTTTAATTAGCACTTAGGATGCAATGTATTTAACACCTCTAGTTCAGAACACTGTATTTATCATCAGACTTCATAGATGTATCTCTTAGTTTTGCTGAACTTTTTTCTTTTTTCATTTTTTTAATTTTTTGTTATAAGCAATGTGATATAAAAAGACATCAATAAAATTGATTTTAAGGCCTGTGGTATTATATTAAAGAGACTTCATTGGGACAAACAGCATTGAATTACAAAGTTCATTTTTATGTTGAAAAAGTTTTTGAAACTGACATTTGATAATGCTGAATTTTACATGGATTTGAATATATTCTCCCTGCTGAAGCATTCATAAGACCAGATTACTTAGCACCAGTACAATGTTCTTCACTCTGTAAATGACTTAATGACTTAGTTACAGGTGTTTAATAAATTTCTTGGAGCGTCATTATAACACTTG